CCTTGTTTCAATATATTTCCTGTTTAGTGTTTTTAAAATGACTTTGAGAACTATTTATAAGATAAGGAAGCCTTTTGTCTCTCAGGATGATTTTCTGATTTAACTGGTTTATCCTGTCCAACATGCTCATATAGGTCTTAGTCTGTTACAGCAGCTATACCAAAATACCATAAACTGGTATTTTGTATCAACAAATTTATTTCTCACAGTTCTTCAGACTGGACTGTCCAAAATCAGGGTGTGGGCAGATGTGGTGTCTGATGAGGGCCCACTTTCTAGACCGACATGTGTTCACTGTAACCTCATGTGGTGGGAGGGACAAGTTGGCTCTGTGGGGTCTCTTCTATGAGGGCACTAATCGCAATTACCAGGGCTCTGCCCTCATGAACTAATCACCTCCGAAAGGCACCACCACCTAAAACCATCACCTTGGAGGTCAGGACTTCAACACATAAATTCTGAAGGGATATAAACATTCAGACCATAGCAATATATTAAACATTTTTATAGTGTTCAACTTTACACTAAAAGGAAGTACTTCAGAATGCAGAGAGAACATGAGGAAAGTACATATCTCATTCCCACACACACGCACCCGCCCCTTTCCTCCCTTGACTCCTTATCAGAGCACTCATCTACCAAGAATTGAAATAAAGAAATAAATGTGGTTGGAGTAAATAGGGGTCCCTTGGGCCTCAAAGAAAGAATGTTGTAGCAAGCACAAACTAATGTAATTTGTGATTCAGGTCATGAGTGTCCAGAGCCACTTCCTATCAAGGAGATATGGCAAGAACAGTCACATAACTGAGACTAGGGAGAGAGGAGCAGAGGGTGGGACATACTCCTGCAACCAGCTCCATCCCTCTATAATTAAATTGGGACTTGGGGTAAAAGAAATAGGTTAAAGGTGAAGACAGCAGCTTGGTGTGAGTGAGTGGTATTATGCAAGCAGAGATGAGGAAACAAATGAGAGATGGCAGGACCAGGTGTCCTGGGAATGAGAATCTCCTGATTAGACTCTCCCATGCTGAGCATCTGGGGTGGGACGAGTTGGTCAAACCAAACCCAATACTATCTTCTTCCAAGTCCAAGGCCAGTCCCAGCGATACACCTCTGCCTTCTCTGATGGATCATGGCTGTGTGCAGAAGGTCATAGAGAGATCTACAATGCCTCAAACTTGCCCTAGGTATTAATAACTACCAGCAGAGGAATGCACGTGGAACCAAAAGAGCTCCCAAGCAACTATGGGTATGGTGAATGGGAAACAACTGTCTGCAGAGCCAAATGGGAAAGCTATGGGGAGAGGAGAAGAATGTAAGGAGAAAGAGGGAATGTAAAAGGAGGACATAAACACATGGAGGACATAAAATAACCCATTTTACACATACCCACATATGGAAAACAAACAGGCCAATGAAAAAAGAAGCAACCTTGTTCTTAAGCAAAGCTAAATCATATTCTTAGAAAACCTAACACGTAAAAGTTAATAGGACCTTTCCATCACTCTTTTATAATTTTTTTAAATGAAAATACTCAATGTTGGTAAGGTTATAGTAAAACTGGTAAATTCATAAATCCTTATAAATGTAAATTATTCCTGGTTGAATATCAATTTATCATAAGAATCAAAAGCTATAGAAATTCTCATAGCATTTCACCCAATATTACTTCTGGGCTCTTAAACTTAGGGGAATAAAACTCTAGAAAAACTGTATGTATAAAAATACTCACTTTAGGAGGCCAAGACAGGTGGATCACCTGAGGTCAGGAGTTCGACACCAGCCTGGCCAACATGGTGAAACCGGGCCTCTATTAAAAGTACAAAAATTACCCAAGCTACTCAGGAGGCTGAGGCAGGAAAACTGCTTGAACCTGGGAGGCAGAGGTTGCAATGAGTTGAGATGGTGCCACTGCATGGCCAAAAAAACACACTTTTCAATGGTGGCTTGGGATAAACTAAATGTTTAAAAACAAACAAACAAACAAAAAACAGAAGAACAACTGAGTAGGCACTGCAACCCAGCAGGGCATGGTGCCTCATGCCTGTAACACCAATACTTTGGGAGGCTGAGCTGGGAGAAAAGCTTTAGCTTAGGAGTTTGAAACTAGCTTGAGCAACAGAGTGAGACCCTATCTTTACAAAAAACAACAAAAAAAAATTGTTTTAATTAACCAGACATGACATGCACCTGTAGTTCTAGCTACTCAGGAGGCCGAAACAGGAGGACCACTTGAGCCCAGGAGTTCAATGTTGCAGTGAGCCATGACACTGTCACTGTGCTCCAGCCTGGGCAACAGAGTGAGACTCTGCCACACACACAAAAAAAGTATGACATATTTAGTGTGGCATTTTGTATGCATTAATTTTCATCCACCCATTCTGGTTCATAATGCCAATACACTCTGTTACAGCCTGCTGTTATAATATTGGGTGTTTTAGGCTTAGGGGTGGGGGCTGTTCTCAAGAAACTCTCTCTCCTGCCTTCATTTCATCTGCTCTAAGGCAGGACTCTACCCCAACCCTTCCCTCCAACCAACACCCCCCACACCGTCCCCCTGCCTTTCTGATTATGGATCTTAAGACTGTACCTAAGAGGGTCCACCTCATACCCTGGAGGGAAGGAATGCTTCCATAAAAACCCCAGAAGACTGGGTTGGGCAAGTTTCCCCATAGCTGAACAGGTGGAGGCTCCTGGAGGATGGTGAGTTTAAGGAGAGCATGGAAGCTCCATGCCCCTTCCCCCATACCTCACCTTATGTGTCTCTTCATCTGTATCATTTGCAATATCCTTTGTAATAGGCAAGTAAACATGCTTCCCTGAGTTCTGTGAGCCACTCCAGCAAATTAATCAAACCTAAAGAGCTATCATGGGAACCCCAACTTGAAGCTAGCTGGTCAGAAGTTCCACAGGTCTGGACTTTCAACTGGTGTCTGGGGGTGTGAAGGGTAGTCTTGGGGACTGTGCCCCCCAATCTGTGGGATCTGACACTCTCTAGGTAGGTAGTGTCAGAAATGAATTAGAGGACGCCCAGCTGGTGTGTGCCGCTTGGTGCACGGGGAAAGAATTCCCACACATTTGGTAACCGTTTTTATACTGTTTTTCTGTGTTGGTGATTATTGTTGCAGTGTGAGAGAGAGGGAAAACACACTTTGGATAGTTTTTCCTCAGACACTTATTAATTTAAAATAATAAAAATAAGACACTGCCACCCAGTGGAATCCTATGGAGTCATTAGAAATTATAATTATTAAGTTTATGTAGCCACATGAAAAAATATTTACAATAACAGTTTCTAATATTTATCAAATATCTCTAGATCATAATTACGACTGGGTAAAATACGCATACCTATAACAAAAGCCAAGAGGAAATGGGGTAGAAGAGACAGTTGATATGTTAGGAACTGTAGAACTGTGGTTGATATTTCTTTCAAAATTTTTCTTCACTGATTTGTTGTCCATTAAAAAAAATTATGAGGTCCGGCATGGTGGCTCACACCTAGAAACCTAGCACTCCAAGAGGCTAAGGTAGGAGGATGACTGGAGGCCAGGAGATTGAGATCAGCCTGGCAACATGACAAGACCCCACCCCTCCAAAAAAAATAAGGAATTGGATGGGTACGGTGGTTCATGACTATAATGCCAGCTACTCAGGAGGCTGAGGTGGGAGGACTGCTTGAGCCCATGAATCAGAGGTTAGTTACAGTGAGCTGTGATCATGCCACTGCACTATAGCCTGGGCAACAAAGAGAGACCCTATCTCTACAAATAAAACAAAATAAAAACACATTATGGATTTGCTAAGACTAGTGGAAAAGGCAGAAACAAACAATAAATAAAATGAAAGGGTGGAATCTCTTTAAACCCCTTTTAAACTATTAATAAAACCTTTCTTTTCTCTTCATCTTCCTACATTACTAGGACTTCACAGCAGTCCCACGCTTCTGCCTGGAAACACAGCTCATCAGTTTATTTTTAAGGTAAACTTCTTAGGACCAAAACCTAGAACCACTAACCTGGCCCCCAAGCTGCCCTCTTGCTCCCAGTGAATAACTGTGACCTTAAACACGACAGCCTTTCCCCAGCTGCCCAGGCCTGGCCTGGCCTGCCCTTCACAGATACAAAAGAATAAATGGAAATTAAAGGTGGCAGCACCTTCATCTCCCTGCTGCTGGAAGCTGAGATTTCCCAGTCTACACCAAGCTATGATTAACAGGTGGCAATGCCAAAAACAACAAAGGAGCTTCAAGGAAACTGTGCTAAAATACTCTCCCAGTTTTAACTACATACATATCCTTTTCTACTCACCCCACCCCATTCTCCCCTTGTACTCCAAAACTCTTCTGAAGCTACCAGGTTGCATAAAGACACTAACAGCTACAGCTTAATGTTCAGAGGTTGATGGAGACTACAGAGTGGGCCAATACAGATCACTCTTCAGAAACAAAAAAGCTGTTTTCAGAACCAGAAGGAAATTAGATAATCCCAGCTCACATTACTTAATGGTTTTAAGACTGGAAATTGTGTGTGTGTGTGTGTGTGTGTGTGTGTGTGTGTGTGTGTGTGTGTGTGTGTGTGTGTGTGTGTGTGTCAAGAGATCGAGACCATCCTGGTCAACATGGTGAAACCCTGTCTCTACTAAAAATACAAAAATTAGCTGGGCATGGTGGCGCACGCCTGTAGTCCCAGCTACTCGGGAGGCTGAGGCAGGAGAATTGCTTGAACCCAGGAGATGGAGGTTGCGGTGAGCCGAGATCGCACGATTGCACTCCAGCCTGAGTAACAAGAGCGAAACTCCATCTCAAAAAAAAAAAAAAAAAAGAATTGCCATAGTATCATACTCAGTGATCACTTACCCATGTAGGAAGGATTCTCCAGAACACCCACCCTACCACCTTGCCCTCCCCTCCCCTACCCTGCCAATTTGCAATCCCTTTTGGAACCACTATAATACTTCAGTCATGTCTGTGCTTTTGTTTCTCACTGTAAGGGACTTACCTTCATACGAGGCAATGCAGTGTCTTCTGTTACAAGAGTTATTCCAGGAATTTCCTATAGTGGGGAAAACACACACACAGCTGCTTAACGTGTGAACTACCACTAGCTCAAGCTTTCAGAAAGTGTTTTCTGCACAGACAGAAGCTGAGGGCAGTTTCCAGTTTCTAACCTCTACTTTAAATAAACCTTGGAGCACACAAATAACAGTGAAAACAGCCTATCTCTTGCCTCAGGAAGGGATATATTCTTTAAAGTCACAGTAGTTGACAGGGTCTCTGAAGGAAAAGAAAAGACTATTATGAAGAAATAGAGAGCCATAGGGTACTTTTATTCATTTCTATTAAAGAACAAATGAGGCAAATTATGTTTGCACCAAATGTGATAAAGGGGAAAAGTTTCACTATCAATATCCTTCCTCTCTCTTCTTCTTTCACTTAAATGTATTATAGTTAGCCCGTACCTCACTAGAAGGAACCAAGACTAACTGGATTCTTGCATGACTTGACTGGATAATTTTTCTGTACCTCATTGTCCTCTGTAATGTCAGAGGTAAGAGCTCCCCATAAAAAGTTTCTGCAGTGGCTAGGTGCAGTGGCTCATGCCTGTAATACCAGCACTTTGGGAGGCCAAGACTGGCAGATCACTTTAGATCAGGAGTTCAAGACCAGCCTGGCCAACATGGTGAAACCCCATCTCTACTAAAAAAACAAAAAAATTAGCCAGGCATGGTGGTGGGTGCCTGTATTTCCAGCTACTCAGGAGGCTGAAGCAGGAAAATCACTAGAACCTGGGAGGCGGAGGTTGCAGTGAACTGATATTGTACCATTGCACTCCAGCCTGGACGACAGAGTGAGACTCTGTCTCCAAAGGAAAAAAAATTTCTGCAGCACTATCATCATAGCAAATCTGAGAGGTGAACAATTCATTTCAGGAAGGGCAAATGATAGCATTCTGCTAACTAGTGAGCATTAAAACAAATTTAATAAAAATATAAATGAATAAATGTTCAAGATGGCCCTTTATTCACTATTTTGAAAATTATATCTGTATGTTAATTATGTAATTAGCTTCTCATCTGGTCAAATCAGTTTTCATTTCCTTAAAAAAAAAAATAGGTAATGTATAAGAAAATATTTCAGGAGATGTAATGAAGAAATAAAAATTGGTATTTTTCTAGAACTTAAATGACCTGGATTTTACTGATATAGAATATTCCTGTGAAAATGGGTATCATAGTGACAGAGAAAAATGTTCAGAACATGCAAACAACTGAGTTCTTCATTGTGACAGTAGAAAGCCTTGATATGAATCTATTGTGAGCTTCATTTATCATTACAGAGGATACCTCAAAAAAAATTAAAATTTATTATGGTTTTAGGTTATAAATAGCATTTTAAATGCGGTAGTATAGTTGTTTGCAAAACATAATTCAGGATTATCTATGTGTAAGGGCATCATATTTTCTATTATCTTAAAAAATCCAGTTGTCTCCTACAAAAGTGTGAAATCCATGTTTCCTCCTGTGGCAACTTTTTATTAAGGCTATAGCATTAAGAACATTTGCAGATTAGATTAAGAGAAAAATAAATTATATCATAGCTGATAAGGATAGACTCAGATTTTCAAGATTAGAAGAGACCTTTAAGGTAACCTAGTCCAACCACTACAAGAAGTTTAAAGCAACATGGCAAACCTCAAGATTAGTTCAGTACAGGGAGGTTATAACCGCAGGTTTATGTCACACTTCCTGTGGGACCTCCTAATGTCACCCTGTGCCTGTTCATGAGAGCTGCTCCGCCCTGCAGAATCTTGAGAAGTGCAAAAGGGAAGCATTGCCCTCAGGGTGATATTCTCATATCACATCCAATTAACATGTGGCTCAATCTTTTAACACACCCTGGGAACTAGTGGTCCCAGGTGCCTCCTGGACACTTTGAACACAGGACATAACAGCAGGGGGTTGGTAGGGGAGGGAGCGGAGATATGCATTTCCTGACTCCAGGGTGGTGTAACCTGCAGACTTCCTGCCATGACCACAGGGCCTGCATGTCTATTCTCATGTGCTCCGAAAGAAAAATGGGGGTGCCTAGAGAGGAAACAAGCTCAATCCTTTCCCTTAGAATTCTAAGATGAGGCATAAAAATCTAATAACCATGACAGTAAAAAACAAAAAAAGGGCCTTTAGGAAAGCACTGCCACTGTGCATACCAAAAATTTAGAAATTAATCAAACACATTTGATACATCTTTTTTAAAGGCTATACGTAGACAGAGTCTAAACATAAAAAAGAGCCATCATTTATCCTAGTACATAGTTTCCTATGATTGTGTTATTTAAATTCAATTTATTTTTCTAAATACCTTTTTGATATAAACTTCTGCCTCAAAAGCAAGCATGTAGTTCTAGTATCTAAGTAAGAAACAAGAGGCACGGCCGGGCGCGGTGGCTCAAGCCTGTAATCCCAGCACTTTGGGAGGTCGAGGCGGGTGGATCACGAGGTCAAGAGATTGAGACCATCCTGCTCAACACGGTGAAACCCCGTCTCTACTAAAAATACAAAAAAAAAATTAGCTGGGCATGGTGGCGCGTGCCTGTAATCCCAGCTACTCAGGAGGCTGAGGCAGGAGAATTGCCTGAACCCAGGAGGCGGAGGTTGCGGTGAGCCGAGATCGCGCCATCGCACTCCAGCCTGGGTAACAAGAGCGAAACTCCGTCCCAAAAAAAAAAAAAAAAAGAAAAGAAACAAGAGGCACAACTTTTTCAGGTACAGCCTATGCATGGTTTTCACTTGCTGGGCTAGCAAAGGTCTGTCTACTGCATCACATTCAAGAGAAAATGAGCAGTGTTTTAGGTCAGCATGTCCTCATTTAAAAGGAGGCAGTCCAAACAGACATGAAGGAAAGGTCAAGTGAGGTTAGTGTGCCTAAGATTGCTGACTTTTACTGATCCTGAAACTCTATAGAGTTATTACAGATTTTTAATGGGGCTGAAAAGAGGGTTCATGAAGGTCGTTATCTACCAAGTATAATCGCAGCGATCCAGCCATTCCTCACATATATAAACTAGTTCATATTTCAATCCAGTCTAGTCACTTAGAAAATAAAAATACCACAATAGAGGTTTAGTTCTGCCTGGTAGTAGAAAGAATAAATAAATACCCTGTGTGCCTGCCCCTTCAGTTTTACTGTTTTTATAGAAATGCTTTTGGCCAGTGGCAGGGATTCGCTATTACTTTTATACCAAAAAAAAATCCAACTCAGTTCTTTATCAGTGAAAACAGTAGTGAAATCATGACCTTGATGATTATAAGAAGGATGTCCAACAACTAACCCACAACTGTGAATTGATTTTATTTGCAGATAGCACACACAGTGTTAACTTACTGTATTCCAGGTGAGCACTGAGGAATGTGGCAATAGTTTGTCCACGTTACTTATCTCTGAATATACACTCCAATATGAAGAAGCTGCATAGATTTTTTTAAAGGGGTGGGAGGATATGGTTTAATATGACAAAGACAGTCAGCATTGTGATTCAACCAAAACAAGCAAACCAACCAAGTTTTCATTGTCTTATCCCTCATCCTCAAAAAGGTAACCATTAAAATTTTATCTACTGACTAAAATGTTCAGGTTCTGCTTTTTACAATGAGAACAATAATTTAGTACTATATCTACCCAAATGACATTATATCACTTCATACAAAACCAGTCAACACAAAACTGGGCTAAAAAAGTCACATCTTACTGGAAAAATAAATCACTAATAAGGTTATAGAATCAAAATCCTATCTTGTATCTCATCAATCTCTGTACAGCCATAGCTACTTAGAAAACCACAAGAGAATGAAATTTAATTAGCTGCTGACTGCAACAGCATTAAAAAAAAAAATGTTCTCCTAAGCAGCATTTGGACAGGTTGAGGCATTCATTATCAATTTACTGCTTTCCCTCAAGCAAAAAGGTCAACTATTCAACTTAAGGTGCAACATCAGCAACACTTACCAATTATAAATTCCTGAATGAGGTCAAATGAATGGCAGGCAGAGACATTCTCAGAAATCCATTGAATAATCTTTAAAAAGTCAGACAGAACTCTGTTGGTATTTAAATCTGCTCTCTGCCTCCATTACCAAAGAAGTACAAATATACATGAATCTTTTGCATTCTATATCTATTTTGGAATTGCCTAAGAATACACTAACTTCTACACTATCTTCAAGATACATAATGCAATCCTGGGTAGAAAAACAGTATGTAAGTGAGATCCTTTTTATACCTCTTTTTAATAAATGTCCTTGGCGGAGATCCAAATAAACGTTCTTCGACCTAATGCTTTTATTAGAATAGGTCATGTTATACCAAAGCACTAGTGGAAAGAGCTGTGGGATGCAGGAGAAAAAGGCAAAACAAAACCACTAGGCTTGGAGGCAGCAGAGCTGGGCGTGATTTCCAGCTGGGCCCTCCGTTGTAAATAGGGACACACCAGTTAATCTTTGTGAGCATGGCAGTACTGCCTCCTGAGGGAGGGATAACCCTTGCTATACCATCAACTCTCTCATCTCCATAATCATCCTCACCTGCTAGAGGAATGTTTGTCATCTCAGAATTGACAGATATTATAAGGCACGCCAAGCCATGGTGCATACTTGCACTTCTGCTACTACCAGTAAGCTGTTTTATTCAAAACCTATTTATGTTTTTGTACTTATTTTCAAAATTAGGTAGTTTAATACAATATTACTATAGACAAGTAAAATGTGGATGCGGAGAGTATTGTTGGGTCAGTAAAAGTTGAATGCTTTGGAAAGACTCAAAGGCATGTCTCTCAAACACTAAAAAACAAGGTCTAGGGGAAACAATTATAAAAGATTGTTTTAAAAAAATGCCTGATATACAGATTGCCTTGTAAGGGTCTTTAAATTACTATATCCTTAGAAATAAAAATTTTTAAAAAGTAACAGGAAGTTAGCGATACCTCATTACTAATGCTTTTATGCAAAAAAAAAAGGAAAAAAAAAATGATGCTGAACTTCAATTAGCAGATGCCCAAAGAAAGGCTTGAGTCAAAACCTGAGTGAATAATGTGCATTTTTATGTTTTAGGTTAAAATAAAACAACTAATGTCTTTTTTAATTTTTTGTAGTTAACCAGCTTTTCACTGATCTTAACCACATCTGATGGGGCAATTTCTCTGACTTCACAGGATAGCTGTAAAACAAAATAACACAGAATGTGCGTAGAGGTACTTAATAAACTCTAATGTGAAATACAAATGTAAGCTATCTTTATCAAAAATATAATAAATATCTGCCACCAGATTTTAGTCCTTTTGATAATTATAGATCAAATACAGACCAGAAGAAAAAGTAGATATTTAAGAAACTCATTATTTACTGAGCTCTTCATTGGAATGTTACTGATACAGCTAAACATTTATTACCAATACAGAAAAGGGAGTACCCAAAAGAACAGAAACACCCTCAGTCTGAGATCTGGTAGGGATCTGTTACAAAGTGGCACAAAAGACGACGATGTTCGAGTCAGCAGAAAGGCCATACACTTCAATTGTCACTAAATAAAAATAACTCCTGACCATTTTCAACCACAAAATAAGTATGTTCAGTGTTGTCTATCTGCCCATTTTGAAACATGAACTATCTTCTCACCTGGCCTTCCAGGAACTGCGCGCCTTGACCACAGGAGAGCGCACAGTGCAATGTGGCCATCTTCTCACAGTCTAAGCGGGTGTTCTGCAGGAGCCGTAATAAAGACGACTGGCTGAGCATTGCTCTATACAGCTTTCCAGAACAACAATCCAGTACCAGGGACCCTGACAGTGACTGTAAAGGGCTGTGAGGTAGCATATCAATCATTTCATTATTTCCTGGCAAAGAAAAAAAGAAGTAGATCAGCAAATAAACTCCTTTCACCCAAACATAGATATTAATGTCAAAACAAACTCAAATAGGCCACCTCTACAAGAGAAAAACTACAGCCATACCTGTCAGAAAGAGATTGTGGCAGATCAGGTCTGAATGTTGAACATTAAGTAGGTGGAAGAAATGACCAGGTAAGTAAACAGCCACATAATAGTCTATAGAAGAGAAAGATTTAAGTCATCTACATGTGGTAAGAGCTGCACAGGTACAGAACATCACTCTATCTCTACTTTTCTCTGAGTATCTCAAAAGACAAAAGTTTTACCAGTGTAATAACAAGTTATCTAATGAAAGTCCATTTCTTTTTTTTCCTTTTCTTTCTTTTCGAGACAGGGGTCCCACTCTGTCACCCAGGCTGGAGTGCAGTAGAGTGATCTCAGTTCACTGTAGCCTCAAACTCCTGGGCTCAAGTGATCCTCTCCACCTCAGCCTCTCAAATAGCTGGAACTACAGGCATGCACCCACAACACCCCACTAATATATTTTCTTTTTAAGAGCTGGAGTCTCACCATGTTGCCCAGGCTGGTCTTGAACTCCTGGGTTCAAGCAATCCTCCTGCCTCGGCCTCCCAAAGTGCTGGGACTGCAGGCATAAGCCACCATGACGAGCCACATTTCTCTTACTAGCCAAGCCTCATTTATTCCTATCTATGGTTAATTTTCTTCAGATATTTACCTATGGTTATCTTAATTTATAAATGCAGTTTTGTTTCTAAGTGACTTGTGGCTTTATGTGAATCTAAATGATCTCAGAGCAAACTAGAATAAAAAACATCAAGAAACACAAATTACTCCTTAATCTGATAAGCTGGAAAGAGCTTATATTGGGAATTTTCTTCATAATTTCTGCCAGTTTGGAGAAGCTCTAAAATTTGGTTGCCCATGTTCATCCACTGATCATCATCGTCATCAGTAGCAGGAGCATTTTGTTTAGAGAACCTTTAAATCGATATTCATCAGAACAATCTCTGTAGACACACTGACACTTGGTGAAGTACTAATTTATTTCCTTGCATATCAAGCTGACTAGAATTCACACCTTCAGTCCCTGCACTAGATATTTTTGTACCAAGAACATTTGCACTCAGAGACAAGGTATAAAAAATAGGTTTCTGGAGAATGGAAGGATAGAAGTTATCCCTTGCCAATACTTTTTCTAGGATCTTAAAAAACAGAAATTCACACAGTAGTAATTTTATATAGATGAGACATTTAGATTATAAGTGAGCCAGCTAGACTCGTTTTCCTAAGAAGTAAAAGAACACATGCTAATCATTTGCATAGAAGGCGTTCTGTGGAAAGAAGAGGATATAAAACTCAAACCAGTTGACTTACAAGTGTCCTTTCAGTCAACGTGGATTAAATGATGCTAAAGTGCTTAGCCCAAATGGTTGCAATTATCTTATTATGGCAACATTTTACTAGAAAAACACAAACAACAATATGGTGGGACATGGAAAGGGTGTCAGTATCAGATAACCTAGTTAACGCCTCACAGTACCACTTAACCAGTTAATTAGGATGGCACTATGTCCCTGGCAAAGTGGCATTTGGAAATATAAGACAGTGATTTGGGCAGTCACATCATTAAGCGAGGAATGGGGAGATTCCTATTTGGCATTTGGTGAGTGGGCTCCAGGGATGGATGTTCAGTCCCTCAATGAGCAGGGAATTATTGTCTCACCAAAAGGGTCAATAGTATCTGTGGCAAGCTGAATGATGGTGCCTAAAGATATTCATGGGCTAATCCCCAGAGCTTGTGAACACGGTAAGAGAGACTTTGCAGATGTGACTAGGATCTTGAGATGGGGAGACTATTCTGAAATACCCAGGCAGACCCAGGTAGGCACAAAAGTCCTTATGAGAGAGAGATTTGTCTAGAGAAGAGAAGACGACCGTGCAATGAGGACAGTAGTTGGAATGAAGTGGCCACAAGCCAAGAAATACTAGCCTCTAGTCAGGGATGTCCACCCTTTTGGCTTCTCTGAGCCACAAGAGGAAGAAGAAGAATTGTCTTAGGTCACACATAAAATACACTACTGACAGTTGATTCGCTTAAAAAAAATTGTTCTAAAACAAGTTTACAGATTTGTGTTGGGCCACATTCAAAGCCATCCTGGGCCATATGCAGCTCACAGACCACAGGTTGGACAAGCTTGCTCTAGAGGCTGGAGGGAGGACACAGGGAACGAATTCTTCCCTGGAGCCTCCAGAAGGCACCAGTCCTGCCCACACTTTGGTTTAGCCCCTTCAAGACTCATTTCAAACTTCTGACTTTACAGAACTGTAAGAGGACATTTGCGATGTTTGAAGCTCCAAGTTTGCAGTAATTTGTCACAGCAGCAATAATAAACTAATAAAGGATATGCAAACTAACCAGATTTGATCATTCCACAATGTATATAGGTATCAAAACACCACATTTTACTCCATAAATATATACAATTACTATGTGTCACTTAAAAACAAAATAAGGTGGAGTATTGCTTATTGACTGTGTGCGGTGGCTCATGCCTGTAATCCTAGCACTTTGGGAGACTGAGGCAGGTAGATCACCTGACATCAGGAGTTCGGGACCAGCCTGGCCAACATGGCAAAACCCCATCTCCATGAAAACCACAAGAAATTAGCTGGGCATGGTGGCATGTGCCTATAATCCCAGCTACTCAGAGACTGAGGTGGGGGATAGTTTCATCCCAGGAGGCAGAGGTTGCAGTAAGCCAAGATTATACCACTGCCTCCAGCCTGGGCAACAGAGAAAGATCCTGTCTCAAACAAACAAACAAGTTTGCTAGGAAGATTTGATGAAAGAACTCTGTAGAAATTTGTTATATTTTATTTGTTGACTTTTCTAATAAAGATCTTATATGGAGAAGAATAGGTACTACACATAAGCAGAGGCTATAGGTACAGTCATACACATGTAAAATGGATATTTTAATTCTTATAATTTCAAGAAAATACTTTAGTCACCCATATTTAGTTAAAACTTTAATATTTTAAAACATTTAGACTAAAGCTTTATATTTTAAAAATATAAGACTACTGAATCAAAAAATGCTATTAGATAAAAATCAAATTCTATGAATAAATATTTTTAAATTACATACTCTAGGATTGTACCACTGACACCACCAATTATCTTTTCTAGTTTGGGCAGTTATGTTGCATACCATTTGGGTGACTTACAGGATCATTTCACTTCATTTTCTCTCAGTTTATTCTGGACTGCTTTAGAGAAAAATACTAAAACAACACCTCTAAACAAAATACTTGATGAAGTTTTAGTTGAAATAAAATGCTAAGAAAACAAAATAACAAAATGTTTAAAGAAAATATTAATAATCTAGTGTCCCTGATAAAAGACACTGAAATACGCCTGAGCACACAGCTCATCCTGAGCCTCCGTATCATTATCCATCAGAATTGCTGTAGGGAGCAAAATAACAAGTAAAATATACTTAACATATAGTATTCATTAAATAAATAGTAGCTTATTTATAAATATATCTTTTAATCAAAGTGCTTGGGGTTCATGAAAAAATTCAAAAAATTTTTCTTTAATATTTTAATCAATATAAGCCCATTTTAATAGGATGACAGTCTACGGAAATTGCATGCAATTAATATCAAAAAATATATTACTCAAAAAGCAATATTGTTATCATAAAAACTACCTGTAGAACAGCTTTAAACCGGGGTATGATTTTGTGCCTATAAAATATGCTTAAAAAGGAAAGACAACGTATGTAAGACAGCCTATTTTTACAAAGCTTGTATTGCTGGCCTCTCCACATGCTGAAGACCACAGATTAAATCTTTCCTGCCCTTTGCAAGTCATTCCCAGGGCAAAAAAAGGAAGGATACCTTTGCCCTCACAAAACACTGTTTTCTTAGTGGAAAGTTTCCCATATCACTCTTGAGATGGGATGTTGATAAAGCATTGCTGATAAGAATCAAGTCCCAGACCCAGGAAACCTTCTATAGTATTTATCTCTCTTATCACAGGAAGCAGTGGAACCAGGCTTCCCTAAGGCAATTTCCCACAGATTCAGAGATCATGTTAAAATTTGCCCATTACTAGCCCACTCACCATAAGTATCCAACGTCATCAACAATATCATTCAAAATAAAAACCACTTTGCTCAGTTTCCTCACATTGTACTCTCCCAAACCTGGGTCATGACAGTGGATGGACTATGGAATAGGGATGGAAAAAGATATAAAAGAGTTATGTGCTCTCAACCCAAAGCTCCTTTTTTAAAGGAAATGTTCCATATACCATGTTCCATATGCAAGCAAGTAAACAGTTACTTAGTCTTGAGCTAAACTGTTTGTGCCCCACATCCCAACTGGCATGGAAGAGCAGCTTTCAGGAGGGAGATACAAAAAACCGTTTCTTTATTTTCTTCATTATCCTCAGGTTCCCCTCGCCATATTTGCTGAATGAAAACAACTCACTCAAGCTGATCCATAAATAATTAATGGAATTTGGAAGCTTTTCAAGATTAGCAACAAGAAATAGACAATTTCCCAGAGGCCCCTGTACTCTCTATAATCAAGGGACAACGTGATATATTCTTATGGGCTACTCAGTAATATCTCATACAAGTCATTTTTATGCTAACAAGTGACTTTTTAGACTACTACCAAAAACATAAGAAAGCTCACAGCCTAGGTTCTCTGAAAAGGGAGGACACCTCCCCCAATCCTTTCAAGCCAAAGACTAAGGAGCTCAGAGGGAGGGGTGTGTTCCAGAGAAAATCTTCTCTAGTAAGACTTCAAGTGGGTCATCAATTGTCCTCACAATCCAAGTCTCAAAGAGGCATGACAAATGGGATAGCATGTAAGGCTAAGGTATACCATGCCCAGGAAGAAGGGTTCAGAGCAGGGGGTGTGATCTCTCCATCACTCACCAAGGTTGAGAAAAGTAATGCCCTTTGTCATGTGTGAGTCAACATTCTTGAGAGAAGTGGTGAAGGTCTTGCTATGTCCTGCAAAGAGAGAACATGAAGCCAGAGAATGCTAAACCAAGAACTGGAACTCCACCCAAGGCAGTGATTATGTAACACTCTATAAATTTCAGTGACCATGAAACTGGTAAGCGGGCATCTTCTGACTTCTAGATTTCATGGTTCTCCTCATTCTCCAAAAACCAGCATTGAAGGCAGACCATCTGAGTGCAGTCACAGTCACACTCCAGTAGTTGTTCTGGGCTTATTATAATCTTAGACCATGACGAGTGAATTGTTCAGGGAGCAGAGGATCTGAAGGAATTTACTTAAGGATCCAAGAGAAAGAGATGACCAGATGGCTCATTGGCCATAATTCCTCAAGGTTCACTGTCACACACATGCAGTCATTAAGACCCTCTGAGGCTTCGCCAAATTATTTACAAATCCCACTTTTAGGTAGGAAGGGAATTAGTCGAGCTAATAACCTCAGTGTATTGGGCTTTCCTCTCTACTTTTCTAACTCTTACTCTTCAGAAAAGTATTATTTTATTTACTGGCTTTGATCACTAGATTAATCATTAGAAAAATGTGTGAAAATTTTCCACAAAAACCTCAAACTTAGACAATTTAAGTATGAGTAGTATATATGTTAGTTCTAAAGTTACTTTAAAACTTTTTTACATTGATCTCTAACCTTGGGAGACAATATTAGGTCCATCTATAGAGTAAGCAGCTCTGATATGGCTTGGCATTTTTTTTAATATTAAAAATTTTTCATCTTAAAAATATTTAAATACACCCACAGTATGTACTACACACACACTCACTTTAAGTAACTAAACAAACAAAACAACTACTCCTTAGCATTGTTCAAACTAAAACTACTACAGGGCACACTGTGATCAACTACAGAATCAGGAGATATTAGGCATTTGACTGCTGCTCCGCAGACTGTTTATCAGTATCTTAGGCTATAGATGTGTGAAATGGAATAAATGTATCTTAGATCTAAAACCTGTTGAGGTCTGATATCATGGACGCCTTTAACTAAAACCATATGTAACTCTGTAAGTTAAATCTATAGCTATTTTCCAATAAGCAATAACTAAAAAGAAAGCACACTTTTGGTAAATACCTCCCTTAGGATTGGTCCACAAGCCTAGAAAAAGATACAGGCCAGGATAAAAATATATGATATATAAAAATAACTAGCTAACTTGATATCCACCATTGGTGACTTTCTTTTGGAAACATGTATCCTATAAGTATACAGGTATAGAATGAACTGATAAAAATTGAATTACAAGGTAATAATACTCTCAGCTGGGCATGGTGGCTCATGCCTGTAATCACCACACTTTGGGAAGCTGAGGCGTGTGGATCACTTGAGCTCAGAAGTTCAAGACAAGCCTGGGAAACAAGGTGAAACCCCATTTCTACAAAAAGTACAAAAATTAGCTAGGCATGATGGTACATGCCTGCAGTCCCAGCTACTTCATGGGCTGAGGAGGGAGGATCACCTGAAACTAATCAAGGTGCAGTGAGCAGTGTTCATGCCACCACATTCCAGCCTGGGTGACAAAACCAAAAAATTACTAATAACATCACTGTTAACAGCTATCTAACTTGCTATTTGGAAAAAGTTATTATGTAAAGTAACAAAGAAGACATGAAAAGTACCTTTGTGAATGTAAAACACTGAATACGTGATTTGTTCCCAAGCAGCACACTTCGGGCTGTAACATACACACAAACTTCCTAGAAGAAAGAAGGTATTTAGTAGAGTTTAACAGAATCTATGTCACAAATAGTTTCCTAAACCACTTAGCCTTACTTCTCTTTCTTTAGATGTCCTGCTTCATCCTACCTCATAGATTATTCCCAAATCCTAGAAGTGGTCTATTAACAAGTTGCTAAGAAATTTCAAAGCAGTAATTCTTTAGTTCACACTATAAGCAACGTATTGTGGCAGGCTATTGAAGGATAGGAAAATTAACAGAGATACACTCCTGTATATATGAAATCATAGGATTCTAGACAGTTTCCAAAGCTTCATGAGATTCTCCCAGTATGCGTGTATCGTGCTGTCTTATCTGGCTTGTCACTTTCAAATTATTACTAACAGCTACGAACACCAGTGTATCAAAAATGTGTTCTCTTCACAGAAAGTTTCCAGTCTCTAGTTTAGCTTGATTGAAAGGCAAAGTATGATCTATATTATGGGTCAGTGAGAACAAATGTGGTGAGTCCGTATCCATCCATAATTGAGTCACTGAAGGCACTGGCCCCAGGCCAAAGGAGAGCTCTTGGCATAGAGTGGCCTTTCCAGGTGAGTCTTGACCCCCTTCACTTACCCCATCACTCCAGAACACCCTCAGCCTTTCCTACCTCTCTCAATGAGTGAAACTGTACATTATGTCTAGCAGCTGCTGCTGTATGGATAGACTAATGTCCATCAGTGATCTACATATAAATGAGGGACATTATGCTTAAACAGATATTGTCTATTCTAATGCATTTATGTGATTAACTGAAATAGGAGATTGCCAGGTAGAAAGTAACTTGACAAGGAGTCAGGAAACCTGAGTTCTAGTCCCAGAGCTAATGTTAACTAGCTGTGTGAATTCAATTGGCACTATACTTCAGGGGATTTCAACATTTCCTCTACTTTACTCCATTAGTTTCTTTATCAAAGAATCATGGTAGAAAAAAAGAAGTCAATTTCCCCTAAGAGGGCTATTCAAGGACATTTATAAGCATTCTGTTGTAATACTTATCAGTTGTGACTATTTTTAATGACATTTAACACTGCAATATATTGCAGTCAGAACATTGTATTGCAATACCCTAAACACAAAACAGCAGAAAAGAATAACTTCATCAGATAACATGGTAACAATTCTATTCGATGTAAAATGACTCTTATGGTTACTGAGCACACAATAACAACTTTTCTTTACAATTACAGCTGGCTCATTGCGAATAAAAGTAATATATCAGTAAACCACAAACCAAATAGTAAGAGTTACAAAAGTCTCATATACCACTTGGACTGCTTTCATACAGTAAACATTATCTGCAAAAAACTACTGGTTTATCCATTCTGTTATGAACTATAATCACAAGGAACATGAATTGTTTTTTTTAAAAAGACAGACTTTAGACTCTCTAGTAATAAATAAAAGTTAAAGCACTGTAATTTTCCTTTAGAAGTAGTTTTTAAAATAATACTGTCAAGGGAACATGTTCTTCTTACACAATTCTCAAACAGTAGTGATTAAGTGGACTAATTTCACAGAGGGTTAAATATATTCACACTTATTCACCCGCTAATTCTTTTAGGATTTTATCCTGGGAAATGAACATGACAACAACATAGATCATAAGCTCCATTCTAGGAAATTATCTGCACACCACCCTTTAGAGAATAAAAGTTGTTTTTTCTCATTTTGAAAACAGTGAGATGTAGAATAAATGTACCTAATTATATATTCTAAGAACCATATCCAGAACTTATAAGCAAGTATTTCCAAATTGTCAGGTTATGCTTAGTTGCCCCACCCAATCCCAAAGGGAAAAAAAGACACAGCAAGGTGAAATGGTAGGTACACAGGCTCTCTGAAGCTATCCAAAAGAACTTTGACAATGGAAATGTTCTATACCTGGTAAAGTCCCATATGGTGGCAACTAGCCACATGCAGTTACTGAGCACTCAAAGTGTAGATAATATGACTGACATACTATTCATTTATTTGAGACAGAGTCTCACTCTGTTGTCCAGGCTGGAGTTCACTGGTGCAGATATGGCTCACTGCACCCTTGATGTCCCAGGCTCAAGCATTCCTCCCATCTCAGCCTTCCAAATAGCTGGGACCACAGTCATGCATCACCCTGCCTGGCTAACTTTTTATTTTTTTAGAGATAGAGTCTCACTGTGTTGCCCAGGGTGGTTTTGAATTCCTGGGCTCAAGTGATCTCCATACTTTGGCCTCCCCAAAAGCTGGTATTACAGGATTTTTTTAAATTTTAGGTTCAGGGGTACATGTGAAGGTTTGCTATATGGATAAACTCATTATCACAGGGGTTTACATATTTATTTTTATTTATTTATTTATTTATTTATTTATTTGACAGCGTCTTGCTCTGTCCCCAGTCTGGAGTGCAGTAGCGGCATCTCAGCTCACTGCAACCTTTGCCTCCCAGGTTCAAGCGATTCTCGTGCCTCAGCCTCCCAAGTAAGCTGGGACTACAGGCATGTGCCACCATGCCCAGCTAATTTTGTATTTTTAGTAGAGACGGGGTTTCACCATGTTGACCAGGCTGGTCACAAACTCCAGACCTCAGGTGATCCACTTGCCTTGGCCTCCCAAAGTGCTGGGATAACAGGCATGAGCCACTGCACCTGGCCCACAGGGGTTTATTTTTACAGATACTTTCATCATCCAGGAATTAAGCCTGATACTCAATAGTTATTTTTTCTGCTCCACTTCCTCTTCCCACCCTCCATCCTCAAGAAGATCCCAGTGTTTGTTGTTCCCTTGTGTTCTTGAGTTCTCATCACTTAGCTCCTACTTTTAAATGAGAACATGAGATATTTCATTTTACCGTTCCTGTGTTTGCTAAGGGTAACAGCTTCTGCTCCATCCATGTTCCCACAAAAGACATGATCTCACTCCTTTTTATGTCTGCACAGTATTCCATGGTGTATATGTACATTTTCTTTATCCAGTCCATCACTGATGGGCGTTTAGGTTGATTCCACGTCTTTGCTATTGTGAGTCATGCTGCAATGGACATTTGCGCACATATGTCTTTATGGTAGAATAATTTTTATTCCTCTAGGTATAGACCCTGTAATCAGCTTGCTGGGCCCAATGGTAGTTCTGCTGTTAGACTTTGAGGAATCTCCATACTGCTTTCCACAATGGTTGAACTAATTTACACTCCCATCAAAAGTGTATGTCTTCCCTTTTCTCTGCAACCTTGCCAGCATCTATTATTTTTTTCTTTTTACTTTTTAGTAATAGCCATTCTGACTGGTATGAGATGATATCTCATTGTGGTTTCAATTTGTATTTCTCTAATCCTCAGTGATGTTGAGTTTTTCATATGCTTGCTAGCCGCGTGTCTTCTTTTGTAAAGTATCTGTTCATGCCCTTTGCCCACTTTTTAATGGAGTTGTTTTTGTCTTATAATGTAAGTATACCTTGCAGATGCTTGATATGCCTTTGTCAGATGCATAGTTTACAATTATTTTCTCCCAATTCTGTAGGTCATTTGGTTTACTCCATTAGTTTGTTTTGCTGTGCAGAAGCTCTCAAGTTTAATTAGATCCCATTTGTCAGTTTTGCTTCTGATAGGATTACTTTTGATGTCTTTGTTATGAAATCTTTGCCCATTCCTATGTCTAGGATGGTATTGCCTAGGTTTTCTTCTAGAATTTTTATGAATTTTGGGTTTTACATTTAAGTTTTAATTCGTCTTGAGTTGATTTTTGTGTATGCTGTAAGGAAGGGGTCCGGTTTCAATTTTCTGCACATGGCTAGCCAGTTATCCCATTGCCATTTATTGAATAGTGAATCTTTTCCCCATTGCTTTTATCAGCTTTGTTGAAGATCAGGTATTCATAGGTGTGCATCCTTATTTTTGAGTTCTCTGTTCTATTGGTCTATGTGCCTGTTTTTATACCAGTATCAGACTGTTTCGGTTACCGTAGCTCTGCAGTATAGTCTGAAGTTGGGTAACGTGATACCTCCAGCTTTGTTCTTTTTGCTTAGGACCTCCTTGGCTACTCAGGCTTTTTTGGTTCCATATGAATTTTAAGATAGTTTTTTCTAGTTCTGTGAAAAATGTTGTTGGTAGTTTGATAGGAATAGCATTCAATCTGTAAATTGCTTTGGGCAATATAGCTATTTTAATGATACTGATTCTTCCTATCCATGAGCATGTTTTCCCATTTGTTTTTATCTTCTGATTTCTTTGACCAGTGTTTTGTAATTCTTATTGTAGAAATCTTTCACTTCCCCTCCCTGGTTAGCTGTATCCCTAGGTATTTTATTCTTTCTGTGGCAATTGTGAATGGGATTGCCTTTCTGATTTGGCTCTTGACTTGGCTCTTATTGGTATAAAGAAATGCTAGTGCTTTCTGCACACTGATTTTGTATCCTGAAAGTTTGCTGATGTTATCAGTTGAAGGAGCTTCTGGGCCGACACTATGGAGTTTTCTATAGAATCATGTTATCTGCAAACAGGGATAGAATGACTTCCTCTCTTCCTATTTGGGATGCTCTTTCTCTTGCCTGATTGCTCTGGCTAGGACTTCCAACACTGTATTGGATAGGAATGGTAAAAGACAGCATCCTTGTCTTGTGCCAGTTTTCAAGGAAAATACTACCAGCTTTTGCCCATTCAGTATGATGTTGACTGTGGGTTTGTCGTAGATGGCTCTTATTATTTTGAAGTTTTCCTTCAATATCTAGTATATTTAGAGTTTTTAACATCAAGAGGTATTGAGTTTGATCAAAAGCCTTTTCTGCATCGATTGAGATAAACATGTGGTTTTTGTCTTTAATTCTGTTTATGTGATGTCACATTTACTGATTTGCATATGTTGAACCAACCTTGCATCCCAGGGATGAAGCCTACCTGGTTGTGGTAGATTAGCTTTTTGATATGCTATTGGATTTGGTTTCCATGTATTTTGGTGATTTTTGTATCCATGTTCGTCAAGAATATTGGCCTGAAGTTTTCTTTTGTTC